TATACTGAGAACTATATTTACTACTGCATCTAGTAAAAGTTTGCAGATAACATGGTGATGAAGTTTGAGCAAATGTAGAAATGTAAAACACATTACTTCGAGAACTATATGGATGAACGCATCATAAATTTACATACCCAGAATATCTCACAGCCCAGTGAACAGCATGAGGTGTAAAGGCAATGTTAATATATCTACAACACTAACTTCTTAAGAATAGAACTCACAAATACAAATAAAACACCAGCAATCAATACCTGTAAATAATTTTATCAATGATCATAATTTTTTTTTAAACTATGGATTTGGCTCAAATTTCCTTTTGAAAATTAACCTTTTATTTACATCCTTTTTCAACCTTAAAATTATGAAAAATTTACGTAGCTAATTCATCTCCAGGAGATCTACAACTTTTTATAATTGAAAAATCGTAGATTAATATATATTTCACTAAATTTTAAATTTAAAGAACATTTACGACCTTCTGTGAAATATATTCATTAAAGGACAAATTGCAGACCTTATTTTTTCAAGCAGAAAAATACGAATTTACTTATAAAAAAGTAGATGAAATCCCTTATAAATTGCTCACATATAAAATTATAAAATTTACTTGCAATGCTAAAAAGCATAAATAACAAATATGAAACTTCTAATAGAACTGACGTAGTTAGCACTTTTCAAAGCATAGGAAGAATAATAAAATAATGGTCAATCGTATCGTGGTTTCTTGCTTGGTATCATATCGTGATTTGAATTATTCACATTGAGAGAACGTGAAAACGTGCTGCTAGTAATATGAGAGGTTAATAAATGACGAGTAACCGTTGCTGCCAAATACGGACAATCTTTTTCTAGAGCAATCCACTCCTGAACAAGGAAGATCGCAAAAAAAAAAACAATGCCACAACGTGCTAGCTTTTAGAAGATTTTCAAATAAGGAATATAATCAAACTTTTTACTTAAACATTTGAAATACCTCATTATCAACTATGTAGTGGCGATGCTTATTTAAAAAGTTCACGACTTTTGCTTTCAAGAAAGACGCGCTATAAAGATCAGCCACTCGAAGTCGTTCGCAAATATTGTTTGGCGACAAGTCTTTTGCTAGCGCTTCCTGACACAAGTTTTTCAAAGAATCTAGACAGAAGCTGAAAAAAACTTGAAAAGTTGATTAGGTTTGCTGAAAGCAAATTATATTACAAGAAAAAAATAATACCGATCTGCAGCAGCTAAGATCTCCAATGCCCTTTTTTGTAACTCTGAACAGGTATCTCTGTAGATATATTCCAAAACAGATTCCATTGTTTCAGGAGTTATATCTTCTAAATTTACCTAAACACACAACTTCTGAATGAATTCAAATATTTTAGAATAACGACTTGAATAAACCCAAACCAACCTCTCCTTTCGTGTTTTCCTGATTATTTTCATCACGAAACATAGCCTGGAAAAAAGGTGATCGCGCTGAAAGAATCGCTTTGTGACACTTGAAAGAGCATCCACCCACTTTAAGAGCAAAGTCCGAAAAATCGCCACTAACTAACAACTGTCCAAAATCATGGCCTAAAACTAATCAACTAATTTTAAAAAATCATTCGTCTTTTTCACTAAGTGTATTCCTCAACTTTAAAAAGGTTCAGAAAGAGCAATTATAAACAAAGGAGGACCTAACCGCAGATTAATAAATAATAGATATAAATAAGAATTGAAGTAAATACACGAAGTAAATAAATAAATATAAATTTTTTTCTATAGTATATATAAAAAGTTGGGTTTAAAGTATCACAAACATACTTGCGGAACCACGGTGTGTTTTTACATCACCACTCATAACCATAGAATTATTGGATGTAGTAGTACTTGCGGTTCCATAAATCACATCAGCATCCAATTCTATCTCAATGCTACTCTGATCTCCATATACAGTGAGTTCAACACCAACAGTTAGAATATCTTCTGGTAAAAATTTTGCAAGTCGACTCTACAAAAATTACAAATCAGTGTATAAAAATTAAAATTAAAATGAGATAAATTCCTGAGTATTTCTTAATACGTAAATTATTTCTTAATACGTAAACACACACATGCCTATATTCGGTAAATAAGTGGAAAAATAATCATAAATGAACCCTCAAAGTTTCAGTGGAGAAAAATTTAGATGCGGTCACAATCCCACCACGATTGATGGTCACAACATTTTTATTTAAAGCACATCCTCGTGGGCCATCTGCTGCTTCAATATAGAAATTTACTCGGAAACGAAGCTTCGAAGCAGGACATTCTGAAGTACAAAGTCTTTAACAGCATATGAAAAAATAATAGAGAGAACAAAATTTGTGGATTGAAAATTGCGTTTTCTTCACTATTTTCCTACAATCGGTAATAAATATTTCTTATTCTTAGGAATTTACTGAGGGCACTGTTCACATATACTTACTAAAAATTTGTAAAAACAAAGAGAGATATCCCCGACATTCTTCATCTTTACCACAAGGAAATAGTTTCAATCGAAATCGATAGTTGTGATCTGCCGAACCAAAGATGCTGAATGTCAAAGTTCATACAATTAAAACTTCGAAGCACATAATAAACGACAGTTTCACATCATGACAGATTCAGTTCTAATTTCAAAAAGTAGAATCTCAAAACTTTCAATGAATTTCTGAAATGGAAAAAAAATTTCTGTAAAACTATGTCGCCTGAAACATTTGCACATCTTATTAAAAACTAACAGAATTATTTATTACAGTATTCAAATTAATGTCAGACAATTATCACAATTTGCAATTTTCACAAATACTTGTTCAAGAATCTTGTGAAGCAGATGATTAGCATCACAAACTAATAAAAAATGCATTAAAATCTACAGTTGTAAAATTAACTTTATAATTAAGATGCTTGTAGTGAAAAACAATTAAAAAATGATACTTACTTAGACTCGATAAATTCACCAGGTGCTGATAATTCTTGCTGCACTGAAAATTGCGCGATACTCCATTTATGAATAAACCGAATGGTATCCATTTTGGTGGTACAAGCGGAAACATATAGTGCACCATCAACATGTGGTGCATCATTACCATCATCTGTCGGTGCAGAAAGTGTTTGCGAATTAAATGCGGGAGCCAAACGTTGCTGAGATAACTCGTTATCGTATTCCGCTAGCATCTAAAAATGAAACTATTGTAATAAATTCTCTTAAAACATAATCTAGCCGAGTGAATAATTTTTAATTTTTTCAAAAAGGAATGAAATAATATATCTAAGTGTAATTCCCAAATGTCAAGATTTTTGAACTTATTTGAAATTTTTACTTAATAAATGAATTATAATTATTGACAATAATTTAAAAAATTCTATGATATTGTATTGCATCCAGCAGCAAAATGAGAAGCAAAAATTTGTACGGAATCAAATATGAAAAGACTACTAGTACGTGCGACGAAATTTATAGTATAAAATATGATTTTCTTCAAAGTTATTAACTATCTAGATCAAATGAAATATAAACAAGAATTCCCGCTCATAATCGAAAATTCCAGGTAGAAAAGTTACATATTTAGTAAATGTTTAAAACAAATATTGAATATAATAGCTGTATTTATTACTTTTCTTGACAGTACTTACTAATTATAAGATTTCTGATATTAGCTAAAATTTTCACTTGCATTAAGTTTTTGTAGTGATGGTCTAAGCTTCTCCCATAAAGTCAAATAATCGAAATATTTATTTAAGTACGTAAAATACTACTCACAACTATTTCTGCCTTTCAATCATTTCATTACTTTATTTATTAATATCTATCACAATTGAAATATTAACAATCGAAATAAAAACAGTACAAAACCAAGTTATTAAAATTGAAGTAATGATGCGCTATCAAGTGTACTCATTATTAAGTAAATCACTCTTAATCCGAAAATATGTCAAACATTTCTGGAAACAAAAAATAGTGCTCACGTAACTACCTACGTGAATCAGAAAAACTGACTAATAATAACTGAGAGAATAAATATCGTTTGCACGTGCTTACAAACAGCCGAGTCCAGAAATACCGCAGGTCCAAATCCTGATAAACTAGAAGGCTGAGGTAGATATTGCGATGATTTGATTGAATTTGCGTGTCATGCCAAGAATTCAAGAGTAAGTGATGCAGAAAATTACGTGGGAAGAATTTTGAAAAAAAGAATCGATAAAATACCGTACTTCAGCTTCAGCTCGATTTCAAAGAATAGGCATAATGAGAAGTCGTGCTGAAACGGTATACCTAATCGTATTGACTTGTAAAAACGTAAATTCAAGCGTGTATAATGCCATAAAAGTTTTTTGCTCTGAAAAAAAGATTGTTACGATAACGGATTGTTACGATAATCGTTGTTGTATTACTTGGCTGAACTACAATTTATTGGTAGTAATTTAAATTTATTGCTACTTTTGTGACGTAATGGAACTTTTTTTTTAATTTAAATAGGAATTAGAATTCAAACAAATCAAATTCGAACAGGTTTTAGTAGCAAATAAACTGAAATAAATTATGGACTTTATGTGATATAATAATTTGTGGCTTATTTTTTTCTAAATAATATTTTTGTGGAATTTTTAATATTTGCAATACTTTTGATAATATTTAAAAAATGTGATAATTATGCAAATTTTTGCGAAAAGTATTGATTTTTTGCTGATAAATTCAATATTAAATAATATTTAATTGCAGCAAAAGTGTAATTGTTGAAAAAATTTAAATTTATTGTACTTTTAAAAATAATATACATAGAATCTGATTTGGTTTTTTTCTGCGAAAAGTCTAATCTATGAATACCGAAATTTTTTAAATTGGAAATTGAATTTCAACTTTTACGAAACTGTAAGATATTGTAAAATAATAAATTTACTCAAATTGTTGATATTGTTGTTAGGTTTGATATTGTTAAGGTCTACAAACAGGACTGATAAACGGGAATTGAAAACTCGTCAAATCCAATGAGATTTTTTTCAGTTGAAAAGTCTTTTTTCGAGTTTTATCATTTTTCGTTATCAGTATTCTCACAGCATTTCTATCTTTTTGTGATAATTTACGCAAAAAAAAAAAACTAAATTCAAATTTTTCAACAACTTATATTCATTATAATATTACAAATGTGTCCTATTGCTAGTTACTTTTTATATTTTCATTAGATTAGCTTCTAAATTGTTATTTATTTAGCAGTTTTCATTTTCATTAAGTAAAAAATGTGAAGATATCAAGGAATCTCGGATAAACTTTTGTGTATTTGTTTAGTGAAAGATCTGAGAGTTATCATAATATATCATCTGATAAATGATAATTATTTATCAGTCTATCCAATACATGAGATAAGATGGTAGAAATCTAAACCAAACAAATGATTTTTTCATTTTGTACATTTTACTAAAATTAGAAATGTATCCAAAACGCGTAGCATTGTTTTCCACTTAATCTGTGCAAATACCCTTCCCTTTAATAATGATTAATGATTATGTGTTGTTTTTTTCAAACTTTTGGAATGATAAACCAATAAATTGTTATTTATCGGTAAATATCGATGACCCAAAAAATTTTTCGATTATCAAAAGAATTTAAATGTATTTGCAAGTGAAAAAACGACTTTTTTAAAATTGAATATGATTCAGCACAAAATTAACGTTTTCAGCACTGTATAATACATTTTAAAAAACCAATTCACAGTCATTTGAATTATTTTTTTAATTTAAATTTAATTATTAGTATTTATTTTTCTAAACCGAGTAAGATTATGCAATGCTTAATATTATTTTATAAAAAATTTGCAAAATTAAAAGTGTGTGTTAAAAACTCCTAAGTTCATACGATTAAATTCTCTGTTGTTATTTATTTAAAAAAATTAATTGTACTTTCAGTTATTCAATAAATGTTTGCTTAATTTTAATGAATTCAAATTTTGAGTTAATATTTTTGGTCATCAATTATATATATGAAAATATTGATTAATTTTAAGAACGATTTTAAATATTTTATGAGAAATACAAAAATTTGATCGGTTTTCAAGCTGGTTGTTATATTTGGCAAATAAATTGCTAGCTAACCTATTATTTGAAGCAAACTGGATTAATTTTGATTGTGTATATTTTATGCAAAAAAAAGGATAAAATTTTTTATTAAAAAATTAATACGATCATTTTGCATCTTTTTTTCAGCAATTTCCTACTAAGATTCGTTTTGATATACTTCATAAAACTCTTCAATTAATTTTCCGGTTTTGAGACGTAGTTTTTTCGCTACCATTCTTCACTCAATTTAAAATTTATGGCATATTAAATTTATGGCAATAATCAAGTTATAACTTAAAATCAGATAAAACGTTTAACTTTAAAGTCAAATTATGTTATAAAAATTTAAATTTTTATCAAAAATATTATTAAAATATCTGTGTTTTAATCGCATAGTTAATGTTTTCGTAGCTAATTTGCATACTTCACTTTTTGTTTTAGTTAAAAAAATTTGAAAAGTATTGTAGAAATTAAAAATTTTGAATGCAAAATTTACTAATTAAATTAAAAGTTCTAAATTCAGCCAAAGACAAAATTATTACTAAAATTTTGCTACTATATAAATTGCCAAGTTTACAAATTAATTTTAATATTATTGTCTTACTTTAAATATTAATTATTGTCGTAGATTTGTCTTGAAGATAATATTAATT